AAGACAGGGGAAACTGATTTAAAACACAACAGAGAAGAGAATAGGGGAAGTTGATTTAAAGGGATCCACCCGCTAGTTTGTCAACTGTGCAGGTGAATGCTCTAGTCTAGCTAGCTCCTGAGAGGAACAATGGGGGAGGAGGTGCTATAGGGGGTATTGTGCACTATTAATTTTGATTAATAACTTCCAGATAGGATGAGACTAATGAGAGCTGTGTGTGCGCGAATATGTGTGTGTGTATGTACAGTTGAAGTCATACGTTTACATACACTAAGGTTGGAGTCATTAAAACTTATTTTTCAACCACTCCACACATTTCTTGTTAACAAACTATAATTTTGGCAAGTCGGTTAGGACATCTACTTTGTGCATGACACAAGTCATTTTTCCAACAATTGTTTACAGACAGATTATGTCACTTATAATTCACTGTATCACAATTCCAGTGGGTCAGAAGTTTACATACACTAAGTTGACTGTGCCTTTAAACACCTTGGGAAATTCCAAAGCTTCTGATAGGCTAATTGACATCATTTGAGTCAATTGGAGGTGTACCTGTGGATGTATTTCAAGGCCTACCTTCAAACTCAGTGCCTCTTTGCTTGGCATCATGGGAAAATCAAAAGAAATCAGCCAAGACCTCAGAAAAATAATTGTGGACCTCCACAAGTCTGGTTCATCCTTGGGAGCAATTTCCAAATGCCTGAAAGTACCACGTTCATCTGTACAAACAATAGTACGCAAGTATAGACACCATGGGACCATGCAGCCGTCATACTGCTCAGGAAAGAGACGTGTACTGTCTCCTAGAGATGGATATACTTTGGTACAAACAACAGCAAAGGACCTTGTGAAGATGCTGGAGGAAATAGGTACAAAAGTATCTATATCCACAGTAAAACGAGTCCTATATTGACATAACCTGAAAGGCCGCTCAGCAAGGAAGAAGCCACTGCTCCAAAACCGCCATAAAAAAGCCAGACTACGGTTTGCAACTGCACATGGGGACAAAGATCATACTTTTTGGAGAAAAGTCCTCTTGTCTGATGAAACAAAATAGAACTGTTTGGCCATAATGACCATTGTTATGTTTGGAGGAAAAAGGGGAAGCCTTGCAAGCCGAAGAACACCATCCCAACCGTGTAGCACGGGGGTGGCAGCATCATGCTGTGGGGGTGCTTTGCTGCTCAAGACATCAGTCAGGAAGTTAAAGCTTGGTCGCAAATGGGTCTTCCAAATGGACAATGACCCCAAGCATACTTCCAAAGGACAACAAAGTCAAGGTATTGGAGTGGCCATCACAAAGCCCTGACCTCAATGCGAGCAAGTGGCCTACAAACCTGACTCAGTTACACCAGCTCTGTCAAGAGGAATGGGCCAAAATTTACCCAATTTATTGTAGGAAGCTTGTGGAAGGCTACCCAAAACCTTTGACCCAAGTTAAACAATTTAAAGGCAATTCTACAAAATACTAATTGAGTATGTAAACTTCTGACCCACTGGGAATGTGATGAAATAAATAAAAGCTGAAATAAGTCATTCACTCTACTATTATTCTGACATTTCAAATTCTTAAAATATGGTGGTGATCCTAACTGACCTAAGACATGGAATTTTTACTAGGATTAAATGTCAGGAATTGTGAAAAACTGAGTTTAAATGTTTTTGGCCAAGGTGTATGTAAACTTCTGACTTCAACTGTATATATGTGTGTGTATGTTTGCTTGCCTGAATATGTGTGTATGCGTGCAGGAATGTGAATGGGTATTTTTGCTGCGTATGTGTGTTTGGGGTTCGGCAGCAGTCATGCCCATGGTTCATTGCCATCTGGAAGTGGTTCTACATCGTTCTGTCCTAACTGAGGAGTCTTTGTCCTCTGTGTGTCAGACTGTCAGGGGCTTACCGGTTGAATCTCTCAGGCTGGATGAAAATGACTACATTGACCATGATCCTTTGCTAGTTACGGCCATTTTCACCATAATCCTTAGTGATTTTTTGGTGCCATTCAGCCCCATTCAGGAATATGGCGAGCTTCAAATTCAAATGCTTCATGCACCATCAGGAGTTTTCAGTGGATTACGTCAGCGCTATCACTATTTACTGGTTTTAATGTCTATTACATCAGAGAGAGAGGAGGGACACACGCCAGGAGAAAAAGGAGAGTAAAATACTAAGAGTAGAGAATAGCGGACGGTTAGTTTCCCAGACAGAGATTAAAACTAGTCCTGGACTAAGAAATTATTATTTTTTAAACTATAATTTGAATACACCAATGGTAACATCTTATTCTCTTACCTAATTTAAATTTAACCAATATCACAGAAGGCGTGTTCACAGAAGGCAGTGGTTTACATACAGTGAGGTAAAAAAGTATTTGATCCCTTGCTGATTTTGTACGTTTGCCCACTGACAAAGAAATGATCAGTCTATAATTTTAAAGGTAGGTTTATTTTAACAGTGAGAGACAGAATAACAACAAAAAAATCAAGAAAAACGCATATAAATTGATTTGCATTTTAATGAGGGAAATAAGTATTTGACCCCCTCTCAATCAGAAAGATTTCTGGCTCCCAGATGTCTTTTATACAGGTAACGAGCTGAGATTAGGAGCACACTCTTAAAGGGAGTGCTCCTAATCTCAGTTTGTTACCTGTATAAAAGACACCTGTCCACAGAAGCAATCAATCAATCAGATTCCAAACTCTCCACCATGGCCAAGACCAAAGAGCTCTCCAAGGATGTCAGGGACAAGATTGTAGACCTACACAAGGCTGGAATAGGCTACAAGACCATCGCCAAGCAGCTTGGTGAGAAGGTGACAACAGTTGGTGCGATTATTCGCAAATGGAAGAAACACAAAATAACTGTCAATCTCCCTCGGCCTGGGGCTCCATGCAAGATCTCACCTCGTGGAGTTGCAATGATCATGAGAACGGTGAGGAATCAGCCCAGAACTACACAGGAGGATCTTGTCAATGATCTCAAGGCAGCTGGGACCATAGTCACCAAGAAAAGAATTGGTAACACACTACGCTGTGAAGGACTGAAATCCTGCAGTGCCCGCAAGTTCCCCCTGCTCAAGAAAGCACATATACAGGGCCGTCTGACGTTTGCCAATGAACATCTGAATGATTCAGAGGAGAACTGGGTGAAAGTGTTGTGGTCAGATGAGACCAAAATGGAGCTCTTTGGCATCAACTCAACTCGCCGTGTTTGGAGGAGGAGGAATGTTGCCTATGACCCCAAGAACAGCATCCACACCGTCAAACATGGAGGTGGAAACATTATGCTTTGGGGGTGTTTTTCTGCTAAGGGGACAGGACAACTTCACCGCATCAAAGGGACGATGGATGGGGCCATGTACTGTCAAATCTTGGGTGAGAACCTCCTTCCCTCAGCCAGGGCATTGAAAATGGGTCGTGGATGGGTATTCCAGCATGACAATGACCCAAAACACAGGGCCAAGGCAACAAAGGAGTGGCTCAAGAAGAAGCACATTAAGGTCCTGGAGTGGCCTAGCCAGTCTCCAGACCTTAATCCCATTTAAAATCTGTGGAGGGAGCTGAAGGTTCGAGTTGCCAAACGTCAGCCTCAAAACCTTAATGACTTGGAGAAGATCTGCATAGAGGAGTGGGACAAAATTCCTCCTGAGATGTGTGCAAACCTGGTGGCCAACTACAAGAAACATCTGACCTCTGTGATTGCCAACAAGGGTTTTGCCACCAAATACTAAGTCATGTTTTGCAGAGGTGTCAAATACTTATTTCCCTCATTAAAATGCAAATCAATTCATAAAATTTTTTACATGCGTTTTTCTGGATTTTTTTGTTGTTATTCTGTCTCTCACTGTTCAAATAAACCTATCATTAAAAACATAGACTGATCATGTCTTTGTCAGTGGGCAAACGTACAAAATCAGCAGGGGATCAAATACTTTTTTCCCTCACTGTAGCTAGGTAGTCTACTTGTGCCAAAATTTGACTGCAGCATGTCAGCAAATATAATTTGTGGTTTCACCTATTCATCTCAGGCAAAGGTACTTGAATGTTTCCGCTTTCATCTGGTTTGGTGCAGGCCCCCAGTGTCTGGTCTGGAGCGTGAAGTCACAAGCTCTGCTGGCAAAAGCTCTGGTCTGCCCTAGAAAGCCTATGTAAATTACGATCGCCAGAACAGCCAAGTTCAATCCCCACAGTGAATTACTACAAATCGAGATATTTAATTAAATATTGTCTGTACGGCAGGCTACGATCGGAGGTTACCAGTTGAATCTCTCAGGCAGGATGAAAATGACTACATTGACCATGATCCTTTGCTAGTTACGGCCATTTTCACCATAATCCTTAGTGATTTTTTGGTGCCATTCAGCACCATTCAGCAATATGGCGAGCTTCAAATTCAAATGCTTCATGCACCATCAGGAGTTTTCAGTGGATTACGTCAGCGCTATCACTATTTACTGGTTTTAATGTCTATGGTCTGGTGATAGCTAGTAATTGGCTAGCTACATTGTATAAAATGTCCTGTAATTTGCTGGCAGCACAGAAGCCAGTAAATTACTGTAGAGTTATAGGACCTTTACTCTAACACAAATTTACAGCATATTACTGAAACACCCGACTACAGTAACATGCTGTATTTCTAGAATTTACAATGCATTACTGGAAGCACATTGGTTAGTAAACTGTTGCAGATTTACAGTCGTCAGGATGTCATGTGATGGTTCCAGATAGTCCTAAACCATCCCAAACCATTATATGTAAAGTAATAAAATGGTATGGTGGTTTTAAAGGTCCAGAACAGTCATTCTGATTCCCATGTAAAATAGCCTTTTGAGTGACTAAAGCATTTAGCAAAAACACTCATTTCGTTGATGGGGGCTGGGCCAATTGCTCCTCTCACAGCCTGTGCATAGCTCTGCCTGCCGGGCTGTGGCTCCTCCAGGTGTGGATTTGCAGTGGGGGGGAAGGGGGTGGTAGGCCTCGTCTGGGCGGGTCTGAAGCTGGGCTGGGGTGGTCTGTGCTGCGCTGGCTGTGGTGGGCGTTGAGGTTAGTGGTGCTGTGGCCGTGGCCGTGGCGTCCAGGGTGCTGGTCTGGGGTGTTGTCTCGGTGATCTCGGTGGAAGTGGAGATTGCTCCGCTGTTCCTGGGTGGAGAGGTCGGGCTGCGGTTAAAAGCGACGTCCTTGAGAGTCTTGGCAAGGATGGGGACTGTATCCCTGTACAGGTGAACATGGTCATAGAGACAGTCCAGATCAAGGGTGGGATGGTGGGCCAGGTGTACATTGAGTCGCAGGGCACAGTCCTGGGAAAGGCTGGCATTTTATTATTTGGATCGTGGCAGAGTGGAAGTCCTTCATCTGTAGAAGGGTTGACACCACGATCCTTGAGTTGGGAAAGATTGCGGAGGCCATCTCAATCATTCCCCTTAGTGAAGTCGCCACCATCTCCTGCTGAGCACGCAGGTCGTTGCTTCCGGTGTGTATGATTATGTGGCTTGGCGACCCAAGCTGGGCCTTATTAAGCAGCTCCATGGCACTCTGTGTTGTTGGGCACCACACCTTTCTCATTTTGTGTCTACGGAAAAGTTTCTCCTACTGAACAAACTTCCCATTTGAGTCCATCAACAGGACGATGTCAGCCAGTGTTTCTTCTGGAATGGAGGGGGTAGAGTGGGGGCTGGTGGATGTTGGATGTTGGAGCTGGGGTGTGGCTGGTCTGTGCCGTTGCCGCTGTCAGTGGGAGGCTGTTCTGTGAGCTGGGGAGGCGTGCAGCAGGCAGGGCAGGGGAGCACAGGAGGCTGCTGAGGGGAGGAAGGCTCATAATAATGTCCGGAATGGAGCGAATGGCATCAAACACCTATAAACCATGTGTTTGATGTATTTCATACCATTCCACCTATTCCGCTCCAGTCATTACCACTAGCCCGTTCTCCCCAATTAAGTAGCCACCAACCTCCTGTGCTGAGGAGGCCTGGCTGGTTGAGGTGGGCTCCTCTGCTGTGTGAGGGCAGGTCACAGAGTGGTGATCTATCTGCTCCTGCAGCCTGTTCTCTGTTCTCTTTCTCTGCTGCAGCTCCTCTCTTAGTGTGGTCAGCTCATTATTACTGCTTTGCCTGTCTTTTTGGAGCTCTCTCACCTCCTTTGTTAGATCAGCCAGCTCTCTCTTGAGTCCATCTCTCTCTTGCTGGACCTCTTTCAGTTGTGCTGCAAGGCTGCGGTCCTGCTCTGTCCGCACCTTGGTTAGGAGATCCTCTAAGGTGTGGATGTCTGGTTGCTGTTTGCTCACATTCTCCCTGAGCAGGACCACCTCCTTCTCCAGTTTGGTGAACTGAGCTTGCTCTGCACTGAGGGGGTCACTCTCTTCCTGGGGCGTGTCCTCCACTATGGTGGGAAGATAGGTGCTGGATGTGCCTTTTTGGGTGGGGAGAGTGGGGGTGAGGGTGGTGCTGGTGGAGTTTCCCTTGTGGGAGGGCATGTCACTAGTGGTGTCCTTCTCTCTCTCTCTCTGCTCTTCCCTTAATTGTCTGAAAGTCTGTTTCAAATAGCCTAAGGTTAACATGCACCATGACAGTCCCAGTCTTGTAGAGGTTGATTTGTTATCATGGTGCTGTCAGGGTCTTCTGTCTCATTTACTTTCAGCTTCCACCCATTACAGATTCCCTCGTTCTTTATGGATGGGTAGTGAGAGCAGACTGCTGACCGCCATACATTTGGCTGGTCAGTGAGAAAGATTAAATTACTCACATCACTGTTTTTGTACAGGTCTGTGAAAATGGTTTCTGGCCTCCCCTTTAGTAGTTTCTGTTTAAAATATTTCCTCGTTGTGTCATTTTTGGCCTCTGGAGGGTAGAGAATGGAATCCACGCTGAGGGGGGACATGGCGCTTGTGGGCTCTGCTGCTCTGTTCTGCTGTTGCTGCACTGTTGCCATGGCAACCATTTTTTGTTTGTCTGCTGCTGTTGCTAGCTAGCTCTAATTTAGCTAAAAAAAAAAAAAAGAGTGAAAAATCTTCACACACACAAAAATAAATGTTTAAAGTTAGAGTCTGTGCTGCTTTTTGGTTTACTCACTCAGTTTGGTCATTTGTTCTAGCTCAATATTTAGCTTGCTGGCAAGGTTTGTGTTGTGTAGCTGGCTAGGGAGAGTCAAAACTTCTTTAATTTGAGGTGCAAAGTTACTTTTTTATATATTCTGATTGAATCGAGTTGTTGTTCATCATTCCTTGTCTTTAATTATTTTTAGATTTGAGATGTTTATCTCATTTTAAAAACAAAAAACTGAGAAATAAATCATGTCTGTAGCTCTCTCTCTCGCTCTCGTGACAGAACATATGGCTGCAGTACAGAGCTAATACACATGATTCGGTGAGAACTCACAAAGAGCAGTGTGTAAGAAAACAACTCAGGGACTGTAAATCTGAGACTTGCTACAGTAAGATAAATTAGAAGCAAACTTATTTTGGAAGTGGGGAACTGAACGGGTTATGTTAAAAGAAGGACCTTCATACAAACCTCTAGTCACATACTGTACTGTACTGTATGCACCATAGAGTTGGATAGCATTTGACCCAAAGCTTGTTTTAGCATGGGCAGCTATTAAGCATCTCAAAGATAGATGAGCTCTCTAGTAGCCTAGTATGCACCTACCTGTAATGTTAAAGAGGAAGCCATGCCACAGTCTTAAAGGGATGTTGTTTTTATTTTCTTGCAGATTCCCGAAGTTTCCTGGACAGTAGTATGAACCGCACTCCAGCCTCGTCGGATGGAGAGCTTTTCTGCTCGGAAGTGTCCTTCACTCCCGCCGCCTGTCAGAGAATGTTCAGCTCCATGCACTCTGTATCGTCAAGGAGCCCCGACCCACACAAAAACAAGTACTGTCTTTCTATCACACTGCAGTGTTTGTGTGTGTGTGTTTACTGTAGCTACATTTGTGCTTATACTTGATCATCCCCTTCTCTCTCTCTCTCCTCAGCCAAACCCCACCTCCAGTGTGGCTGGACAGGACTCCTATGTCCCTGTCCTCCCCGTTCATCCCCCCTTCCTCTCCCTCTCTGTCTCCCCTCAGCCTCCCCAATGCGCACAGATCTCCCCTGGGGGTCCAGAGGGACCAGGAGGGGTCTGGGGGCCAAAGCCAGGGTGAGAGGAACCAGGGTGACCAAAGCCAGGGGTACTTAGTCTCTCTGCTGCTGGGGAATGGAGTTCTGGGTCTGGAGGACAGCCTGTTGGAAGCCGTGGAGGGGCTGGGGGGCCTGAATCTAGGCCTGGGGCTTGGAGAGGGCGGACTGGCGGGACTGCCACCCTTGCTGCCTGAGAAGAGGGTACCGGGGCTGGCTGGGTCCCAGTCCCCCTCTCTCAGTGGATTCTCCAGCCCCCACAGTGGTAGTAGCCTCAGCATCCCCTTCCCCTCAGCCATGGCCCCTGCCCCTCTCAGAGGACTCAGCGCTGGTGGTGGTAGAGCCCCTTTGCCTGGATCAGGTATACACGCACACAGACACACAGTCAGGCAGACACACACACACACACACACACACACACACACACACACACCATCATTCCTGTTCCCAAAAACTCTAAGGCATTATGCTACGATGACTACCGACCTGTAACACTCACTTCTGTAATAATGAAGTGCTTTGAAAGGCTGGTCATCGCACACATCAATTCCATCATCCCAGACACACTGGACCCACTCCAATTTGCATACCACACCAACAGATCCACAGATGACGCATTCTCCATTCCACTCCACTCCACACTGCCGTCTCCAACCTGATCACCACGACTGACTATGAGACAGCCTACTAGGAGGCACTGCCCTTGAACGGAAGGCCCTACAGAGGGTGGTACGGATGGCCCTACAGAGGGTGGTACGGATGGCCCAGCACATCACCCGGGGTGAGCTCCCAGTCTATCCAGGATGTACATGCCAGGCAGTGTCTGAGAAAGGCCCGAACAATTGCCAAAGACTCCAGCCACCTGAGACATGGACTCTAGTCCATGCTCCTGTCCGGCAGGCGGTACCGGTGCATCAAGGCACAGACCAAAAGACTCGTAATCAGCTTCTATCCCCTGGCTATAAGACTGTTAAATGGCTAACAATTACTGCTCTCCCTCTCCCACAGACTTTCCGCACTGACTCTATGCCCATCCACAGGTATCCACCCACTCAGACAGACACACCTTCACTGTCAGTCTTACTCACACACACACAGTAGTTTAGTGAAGGGTATATGCAGGTATACGCCGTATACCCACTTATTTTTCAGTGGGCATTGCATATACTCACTTCTTAATCCCCATTGATACTTATCAAAGTAGTTTATTATAGGTATATGCCGTATCAATTAATAGGTCTGATGGAACAGATTGGAATGTTTACATGAAAATGTTGATAAACTATTATTTCTTCACATTTTAGGCGCAGCAATGTACACACGGCAGTAGGCCTACGTAGGCCTACGTGTGAATGTTGCAAAATGCAATTTGCGGGAAAACACTGTTCTAAAATGCGCACCGCACATGCAAGCAGTTTCGTGGACGGAGATGGGAAATATCCATTAGAAAGAGGGGAGATCTAAAGATGCAACAACTATCATGGGTCGCTAATATGATTAGGATAATGCCTTTGGCTGCTAGACAATGAAAGAAAGTTAAAAGAAAACCAATAGAACAGGAGAATGCATATGAGTAAGTCTTTATAAAAATAATTGCATCCACGATTCTAAGGTGGGCTTTTGTCTATAGGCTACTTTGAAGCAAGGTAAGACATGCCTCATAATATGAAGTAAAACGTCCAGGTTTCAAATAATTAAGGAACAGGAAAAATATAGCGACGCTAATGATCGGCCTAACCATCTTCTGGTAGATGCAAAGTGTGACTGAGAACGAAAACCTGAAGGAATTGAGGAAAATCTGAAACCTTTGAATTTCAGACTCAGTTTATCTGTTTCAATAGTAACCTACTATTAGCCTACTGCACAGTACAGCTTGGGTTGGCCTGACTGTGAAAGACCAATATGGGATTGATCATTTTAGGTCATTCAGAGTGTATGTCACTGTTTCTCATATAATCTTTCACACTGGGCACCTTTCCTTAGTTGGGCGGGCCGTTTGGAAACATGTTGGCAGAATTAGAGTATACCAACTTCTCCAGGCACCACACCCTCACTCACATACTCATTACTGACGTCATACACTTACACCCAAAAGGTACACACGACCTCACAACTACGCTGCTACTAAAATTATTGTGGATTCGATGTAGAGTACCAGTCAAAAGTTGACACACCTACTCATTCAAGGGTTTTTCTTTATTTTTACTATTTTCTACATTGTAGAATAATAGTGAAGACATCAAAACTATGAAATAACACATATGGAATCATGTAGTAACCAAAAAAGTGTTAAACAAATCAAAATATATTTTATATTTGAGATTCTTCAAATAGCCACCATTTGCCATGACAGCTTTGCACACTCTTTGCATTCTCTCATTCGCTGTGTACTACTCCCTTGTACGAGATCTTCAGTTTCTTGGCAATTTCTCGCATGGAATAGCCTTCATTTCTTAGAACAAGAATGGACTGATGAGTTTCAGAAGAAAGGTATTTGTTTCTGGCCATTTTGATCCTGTAATTGAATCCACAATTGCTGATGCTCCAGATACTCAACAAGTCTCAAGAAGGCCAGTTTTATTGCTTCTTAAATCAGCACAACAGTTTTCAGCTGTGCTAACATAATTGCAAAAGGGTTTTCTAATTATCAATTAGCCTTTTAAAATGATAAACTTGGATTAGCAAACACAACGTGCCATTGGAACACAGGACTGATGGTTGCTGATAATGGGCCTCTGTACGCCTATGTCAATATTCCATAAAAAATCTGCCGTTTCCAGCTACAATAGCATGCCTGATTTCACACTCAACCATACTGTCGCACACAATGTTCACTGTGTCTCAAAAATATGTGTATATTCTATAGTTCTCTCTTTCTCTCTCTTTACACCAAGTGGTTGTCTCTGTCTGTGCGTTGTGTTGCAGACCCGTTTTCCAGTAAGCAGGACACTGTGAAGTTTGTTCAGGACACATCCAAATTCTGGTACAAGCCTGACATATCTAGAGATCAAGGTAAATATTGTTTCCGGATATTAGACGGGTGCTGCAAGAACGCTTTCTCTGTGTGTGTGTGTGTGTTGGCTTGGATATTTTATTTCCAGCACAGTTCCAGCCATTATGCTAGATGTGCATTACACATTGTGCAACCAGGCCAGAGCAGTACAGTTCGGCTTGGCTCTGTTTGTCTCAGTAGTCTGAAAAGGGCATCACAGTAACTACTGACTATGACATGTAGGTGTTGTGACTGTGTTAAACTTCATTTTTTGACTCCTGTTGTGCTCTGTAGCCATCGGTTTGCTGAAGGACAGAGAACCTGGATCCTTCATTGTCAGGGACAGTCACTCGTTCCGCGGAGCCTACGGATTGGCTATGAAGGTGGCCACACCTCCTCCCTCTGTCCTGACACAGAGCAAGAAAGGTGGATGTGGTAGGCTACAAATTACCGCATCCCAAATGGCATGCTATTCCCTATAAAGTGCCCTTCATTTGACCAGAGCCCTATGGGAATAGGGTGCCATTTGGGGCGCAGATTCAGAGGTCCATAAGTTCCAACATGGTCTTATTAGAATATGTCATAACATTTTACCATTGTAGTTATATGTCACTTCTGACTTTCTTCTAATGAGATATGTCTGTCAGACCAGGTCGGTGTAGGGTGAAATTGCCCATAGATGCTGATCCTGTGTCAGTTTAGCATTTTTCCCACTAATGGTTAGGATTGGGGGAGGGGAAGCTGATCCTAGATCTGTACCTAGGGCACTGGCCATTTTTCCACACCTCTCTGATGTCACTTCCTATCTCCAAAGTGGGTGGCGACCTATCGAATGAGCTGGTGAGGCATTTCCTGATTGAGTGCACACAGAAAGGGGTGTGGCTTAAGGGCTGTCCCAATGAACCCTACTTTGGTAAGGACATATTCCTGTGTGTTGTGCTGTGTGCCTATGTATGTATGTATGTATGTATGTATGTATGTATGTATGTATGTACAGTGAGGGAAAAAGTATTTGATCCCCTGCTGACTTTGCCCACTGACAAAGACATGATCAGTCTATCATTTTAATGGTAGGTTTATTTGAACAGTGAGAGAGAATAACAACAAAAAAATCCAGAAAAACGCATGTAAAACATGTTATAAATTGATTTGCATTTTAATGAGGGAAATAAGTATTTGACCCCTCTGCAAAACATGACTTAGTACTTGGTGGCAAAACCCTTGTTGGCAATCACAGAGGTCAGACGTTTCTTGTAGTTGGCCACCAGGTTTGCACACATCTCAGGAGGGATTTTGTCCCACTCCTCTTTGCAGATCTTCTACAAATCATTAAGGTTTCGAGGCTGACGTTTGGCAACTTGAACATTCAGCTCCCTCCACAGATTGTATATGGGATTAAGGTCTGGAGACTGGCTAGGCCACTCCAGGACCTTAATGTGCTTCTTCTTGAGCCACTCCTTTGTTGCCTTGGCCGTGTGTTCTGGGTCATTGTCATGCTGGAATACCCATCCACGACCCATTTTCAATGCCCTGGCTGAGGGAAGGAGGTTCTCACCCAAGATCTGACGGTACATGGCCCAATCCATCGTCCCTTTGATGCGGTGAAGTTGTCCTGTCCCCTTAGCAGAAAAACACCCCCAAAGCATAATGTTTCCACCTCCATGTTTGACAGTGGGGATGGTGTTCTTGGGGTCATAGGCAGCATTCCTCCTCCTCCAAACACGGCGAGTTGAGTTGATGCCAAAGAGCTCCATTTTGGTCTCATCTGACCATAACACTTTCACCCAGTTCTCCTCTGAATCATTCAGATGTTCATTGGCAAACTTCAGACGGGCCTATATATGTGCTTTCTTGAGCAGGGGTCCTTGCGGGCGCTGCAGGATTTCAGTCCTTCACGGCGTAGTGTGTTACCAATTGTTTTCTTGGTGACTATGGTCCCAGCTGCCTTGAGATCATTGACAAGATCCTCCCGTGTAATTCTGGGCTGATTCCTCACCATTCTCATGATCATTGCAACTCCACGAGGTGAGATCTTGCATGGAGCCCCAGGCCGCGGGAGATTGACAGTTCTTTTGTGTTTCTTCCATTTGCGAATAATCGCACCAACTGTTGTCACCTTCTCACCAAGCTGCTTGCGAATGGTCTTCTAGCCCATTCCAGCCTTGTGTAGGTCTACAATCTTGTCCCTGACATCCTCGGAGAGCTCTTTGGTCTTGGCCATGGTGGAGAGTTTGGAATCTGATTGATTGATTGCTTCTGTGGACAGGTGTCTTTTATACAGGTAACAAACTGAGATTAGGAGCATTCCCTTTAAGAGTGTGCTCCTAATCTCAGCTCGTTGCCTGTATAAAAGACACCTGGGAGCCAGAAATCTTTCTGATTGAGAGGGGGTCAAATACTTATTTCCCTCATTAAAATGCAAATCAATTTATAACATTTTTGACATGCATTTTTCTGGATTTTTGTTGTTGTGATTCTGTCTCTCACTGTTCAAATAAACCTACCATTAAAATTATAGACTGATCATTTCTTTGTCAGTGGGCAAATGTACAAAATCAGCAGGGGATCAAATACTTTTTTCCCTCACTGTATGTATGTACAGTGGGGGAAAAAAAGTATTTAGTCAGCCACCAATTGTGCAAGTTCTCCCACTTAAAAAGATGAGAGAGGCCTGTAATTTTCATCATAGGTACACGTCAACTATGACAGACAAATTGAGGAAAAAAAATCCAGAAAATCACATTGTAGGATTTTTTATGCATTTATTTGCAAATTATGGTGGAAAATAAGTATTTGGTCACCTACAAACAAGCAAGATTTCTGTCTCTCACCGACCTGTAACTTCTTCTTTAAGAGTCTCCTCTGTCCTCCACTCGTTACCTGTATTAATGGCACCTGTTTGAACTTGTTATCAGTATAAAAGACACCTGTCCACAACCTCAAACAGTCACACTCCAAACTCCACTATGGCCAAGACCAAAGAGTTGTCAAAGGACACCAGAAACAAAATTGTAGACCTGCACCAGGCTGGGAAGACTGAATCTGCAATAGGTAAGCAGCTTGGTTTGAAGAAATCAACTGTGGGAGCAATTATTAGGAAATGGAAGACATACAAGACCACTGATAATCTCCCTCGATCTGGGGCTCCACGCAAGATCTCACCCCGTGGGGTCAAAATGATCACAACAACGGTGAGCAAAAATCCCAGAACCACACGGACCTAGTGAATGACCTGCAGAGAGCTGGGACCAAAGTAACAAAGCCTACCATCAGTAACACACTACGCCGCCAGGGACTCAAATCCTGCAGTGCCAGACGTGTCCCCCTGCTTAAGCCAGTACATGTCCAGGCCCGTCTGAAGTTTGCTAGAGTGCATTTGGATGATCCAGAAGAGGATTGGGAGAATGTCATATGGTCAGATGAAACCAAAATAGAAATTTTTAGTAAAAACTCAACTCGTCGTGTTTGGAGGACAAAGAATGCTGAGTTGCATCCAAAGAACACCATACCTACTGTGAAGCATGGGGGTGGAAACATCATGCTTTGGGGCTGTTTATCTGCAAAGGGATCAGGACGACTGATCCGTGTAAAGGAAAAAATGAATGGGGCCATGTATCGTGAGATTTTGAGTGAAAACCTCCTTCCATCTCAAGGGCATTGAAGATGAAACGTGGCTGGGTCTTTCAGCATGACAATGATCCCAAACACACCGCCCGGGCAACGAAGGAGTGGCTTCGTAAGAAGCATTTCAAGGTCCTAGAGTGGCCTAGCCAGTCTCCAGATCTCAACCCCATAGAAAGTCTTTGGAGGGAGTTGAAAGTCCGTGTTGCCCAGCGACAGCCCCAAAACATCACTGCTCTAGAGGAGATCTGCATGGAGGAATGGGCCAAAATACCAGCAACAGTGTGTGAAAACCTTGTGAAGACTTACAGTAAACGTTTGACCTGTGTCATTGCAAACAAAGGGTATATAACAAAGTATTGAGAAACTTTTGTTATTGACCAAATACTTATTTTCCACCATAATTTGCAAATAAATTCATTAAAAATCCTACAATGTGATTTTCTGGATTTCTTTTCTCATTTTGTCTGTCATAGTTGACGTGTACCTATGATGAAAATTACAGGCCTCTCTCATCTTTTTAAGGTGGAGAACTTGCACAATTGGTGGCTGACTAAATACTTTTTTTCCCCACTGTATGTGTATATCTGTTCTGTTCTGTTCTGGTGTGTTGTGTTGTGTGCATATATGCACTGTATGGGTGCATATGTTCAGTTGTGTGAAGTAATACAATGTATCCCTCAGGTGGACATACTCAGTAGTGCATCTAAACAGGTCCACAAAATCTGGTCCAAAAAATATTATTGGTTGACCATCGACTAGATGGCAAGGTATATGAAAGCATTTGAGACAGTGTTTTCTGTTCCTCACAGGAAGTCTGACTGCGTTGGTCTGTCAACATTCCATTACCCACTTGGCCCTGCCCTGCAACCTCATCATCCCCGACAGAGGTAAGAATGTGTGTGTTTCCTTGTGTTTCTATAAATACAATTATATCAGTTCCAACTAAACTTCCTTTTTCTTCCTGTGTTGTCAGACCCTCTGGAAGAGACAAGTGAGCCTTCAACACAGTCAGTAACCAACTCTGCTGCTGAGCTACTCAAACAGGGAGCAGGTACTTTATAATCTCAGCTCTCTTCTCTGACATTGTGTGTGTGTTTGTCAACTTTCATTGTGTAACATGTATGCTTCTCCGTGTGGTTGCTGGGCTCAGTAGAGCTGCAGTCTCTGACTGGGTACCAGGCTGTATGTGTGTTAGAGTGTGTAACGTGTGTGTGTGCGTGTTACAATGTGGAACGGGTGTGTGTCTCTCTACCTAGCTTGCAATGTGTGGTTCCTGGGCTCAGTAGAGCTGGAGTCTTTGACAGGGTACCAGGCTGTGCAAAAGGCAGCCAGTCTGACTCTGGCCATGGACTCTCCTCCAACCTCCACTGTGGTCCACTTCAAAGTCTCAGCCCAGGGCATCACCCTCACCGACAATCAGAGGAAGTGAGTCATACACCCACTTGCATGATCACACATGCACGCATGTGAACACACATACAGTGGGGAAAAAAAGTATTTAGTCAGCCACCAATTGTGCAAGTTCTCCCACTTAAAAAGATGAGAGAGGCCTGTAATTTTCATCATAGGTACACGTCAACTATGACAGACAAAATGAGATTTTTTTTCTCCAGAAAATCACATTGTAGGATTTTTAATGATTTTATTTGCAAATTATGGTGGAAAATAAGTATTTGGTCACACAATGTGATTTTCTGGATTTTATTTCTTCTCAATTTGTCTGTCATAGTTGGCGTGTACCTATGATGAAAATTACAGGCCTCTTTCATCTTTTTCAGTGGGAGAACTTGCACAATTGGTGGCTGACTAAATACTTTGTTTCCCCACTGTACATACACACGTATGCGCTTGAGCACGCATACGTATGCATGCACACACACATAATGTAAAGAACCTCTTACAAAATAAGGGTACGGTATTGTTCCCTGGGTAACAAAAATATCTAAATACAGATAATGTACCTTCAGAGGTACACAGAATGATCTCACATGGGATTGTTCAGTAACTTTTTTGATACATGTGCGGATAAAAAGTATGAGGGTCCATTTTGGTACCCAATATTTTGAATATTAAGATACAATCATCACACTCTAGCTCTCGGCATATGGTGAAGGTACATTTCTGTTTCCCAATACATTGCAGAAAAGCAATGTATTGAAGGAAGGGACATGTTTTGTACGGTACAATTATTCATTTTTGCCACCTAAAAAGGCACATTTGTACCATATTCATTATCATTATCATATTTCCCAGCAGGCTCTACTGCAGGTTGATTTTTTTAGAATTGTTTTTAATATCTGTGTTTTTGCATGTACATTAATTGATTGATTCATCTTATGGTACACAAAGATAAATAACATACATTTTCTAAACTAATCCAATCAGTTAGTTAAATGTTCTGCACCAGTGACTTAAATGGTTGTTCCAGTTTAAATTACTTAGGTAGTCACAATGTTCTGAACCCTGGCAGTCATTCTGAAGGCAGGTTGCGGGTGAATAAAAATGCCAACTGTTTGATATCCTAACTCTGGCTGGATTCCTATAGAAATTACACATTCCTTTGCAAACCAGCATAATGTGACTTGCAGGTAGGGTTGCAAAATGCTGGTTACTTTCCAAGGCTTCCAGAAGTTCTGGTTGGAAGATCCTTTCCTGGAAACGGGAGGGAGTAAGTGCAGGAAATCCAGAATCCTTCAACCAAGATCTCTGGGAATTTTGCAACCATACGTGCAGGCCTGATGTTGCCTGTAAACCATGAGGGTCAGGCTCCTGTATTAGGGTAAAATTAGGCCTCACAATAAGGCCTCATGAGATATGTAATGTATTGTCATAAAGAGTAAAATTGTAGCTTATTTTATTAGTTTTTTCAAAAATGATTTTTACAAGTAATTTTTCAGACCATGTCTCTGTCAATAACAAATACGGTCATGGGTGGTAACTCTACAATTCACTCGAAAAGGCAAGTCACACTTGTATTTTATATAGGAGGCATGGCTTAGTGCAGGGGTGGTTTTCAGTTATTTTTGGCCACCCTTGAGTGGAACTGTTGTACCAGTTTAAGTGGTCTTTGATAGAGGTAAAGTTTTGCAACTTTCAGTGAAGACACTGCGGTGGTTCCAAATAAAGAAAAATATATACCTTTTCTAAGAGCATGCTTTTGTATCTGTGGAGTATATGTAAGAAAGGTACTATCTATTAAGGGTATCCTCAGGTGGACTGTGAACCTGGGGTCCAAGCTCTGCGGGCTGCAATGCATGGGCCTTCAGGTTCTCTAGGATCAAGGGACAAGGCCAAGCGCATCATAGAGGACCCCACACATAATCTTGCCCAATTTTTCTGAGCTGCTGCCCTCTAGAAGGAGATTAACGGTCCCACTGCTCAGCAAGAATAGGAGCAAGGTAAGTTTCATTCCATCAGCCATCAGGTTGCTGATCAGTGGGACATAGGACAGATGCAGGCCCAATACACGGTTGGACAGTAGGCCGCAGACTTTGAATACTGTATGTGAAAATTTAAATGTGTGACTTGTATACTAACTTTCCAGTTTTATGTACTGCATGTAATATATTGTGTTGTGATTGTGTATTTGTATGCTGACGTCACAAAATGTAAATGTAAAATAAAGTATACCGTATCGTATCTGAGGTACGAACTGGGGTAGAATCATGTACCTGTAACTAAAGGTACAAAGGACTACCTTACAGGGTACCACCCAGTGACAAGCGTTGGTACCTCTTTAGGAACAAATCTAAGCCTTTTTTCCAATAGTGTAGTTACGACAGATATTGTATAGCTACACTGCAATGTACTCAGTCACCCCTCACTGTCTCTGTCTGTAGGCTGTTCTTCAGGAGACACTACACTGTCAATACCGTCATATTCTGTGCCCTTGACCCACAGGACCGCAAGTGAGTACCGTACACTCTAGTGTGTGTGTGTGTGTGCGTGTGTGTCAGATAATCATGCATGGTAACTAACTATTCTCTCCTCACCAGGTGGAAAAGAGATAGCTGCTCCTCTGCTAAGTAAGTCATTCCCTCACTTCACCTCCTGTCTTTATTTTTCTCTCTCTTACTCGCTCTCTTTCTCTCTCTTTCTCTCGATCTCTCGTTCTCAATGTGTTTCACAATTTTTCTCTATATCTTTACATATCTCTCTCTATCCCTCAGAGAGATATCACTTCTCTTTTCTGAATTATTTGCTGAATAGCAACGGAAAATGTTTTGCAATGAAAACAATACTTTCTTTTTGGAAAGATTCCGGTAGGTCCCTCTCCGTTTTGGCCCATATGTTTCTGTTGCATTCCTAGTGAACATGACCCTGGATTCTCCTGTTTGGCTTGAAGCTGAAGGCTTACTGAGCTTCTCTGCTGTTTCTCCTCCTGTCAGGATCTTTGGTTTCGTGGCGAGGAAGTCGATGACTGGGACAGAGAATGTGTGTCACCTGTTTGCTGAACACGACCCCGAACAACCCGCCAGCGCCATCGTCAACTTCATCTCCAAGGTGATGATTGGATCACTGAAGAAATAAAACTTGGACACACACACAGTTTGTCCTGCTGGTACATACTGCACTTAAATGTTGATCTAGAGAAGACTAATGTGTTGCATTATGGCATACTACCAGCATATTTTTATTGTATTCTATTTGTATTTAACCTTTATTTAACTAGGCAAGTCAGTTAAGAACAAATTCTTATTTTACGATGACGGCCTACTCCGGCCAAACCCGGACGACGCTGTGCCAATTGTGCGCCGCCCTATTGGACTCCCAATCACGGCCGGATTGTGATACAGCCTGGAATCGAACCAGAGTCTGTAGATGCTGTGCCTTAGACCGCTGTGCCACTCGGGAGCCCTGCCACCAGGGGTGTAGGGTGACATTTCCCCTAGACGCTGATCTTGGGTCAGTTTTTGCATTTTCCCCACTTATGGTTAAGGTTAAGATTAGGAGAGGGGGAAATCTGAACTGATCATAGATCTGTTCCTAGGGGAAACTTGACCCTGAAGTGCATCGAGGACCTTCTCAAGAAAACCAACGCTTATATTAATAAAGTCTGTTTATCAGAGGAGGCTGATGGGCAGAGATCATTGTAATGGCTGGAATGTACGGAACGGTATCAAACACATGGTTTCATTACAATGAGCCCGCCCTCCTATATTGCCGCCCACCAGCCACCACTGATATGTATGTATATGATCAGGATGTCATTGTAAAGGGAGAGAATCTGTCATGTATGTTAGTATTTTTAAGACATGTTTTCAACAACTTTATTTGTTTAACTGTAATCTATATTATATAATCACACAGCATTACTAGTCTGCCTTTACCTGCAGAGTGAAAGGCTCTCTACAAAGAAAAGGGTCACTTTTAATCACTTCAGCCAATCCTTTTTAACTCATATCATCAGTGAAACACAGGATACGCTATAATCCAGTGCTTGACTTGGACGGAACACACCAATATAAACAGTACCGGCACCCAAAATGAGTACAAACACCCAAAAACATTTCAGTCCAAGTTAAGCACTGCTACAATCTACTGAGTTTGTTTAGAATCACTTTTTAATATAGATACTGTTTACTTTACTTTTCCTCTGTAAGCCATTTCATACTAGCATCAACTTAATAGTTAAGCCCCAACATGGAGTAGCACCATATGATAGAGTTTAAGATCAGAGCTAGAGCACTGATGGCTTAGACAAATCAGACCACACAGATCGGTTAAAAGCAGAATATCGTCTGCTATTTTTTTTATTAATTTCCTGACGATACTACATGTTGAATCGGCTCCGTTCGTCGACACCCAGCAGGTATCTTCTGCGTACGGCCCACGTTTGTTATATTAGACAAAAACCTATATCTGGTGTCCCTTTCAACATATATTAACAGATTTTAAAAGATGTGGTTTTATACATTGGCTGAAATATTTATAATTGATGTCCATGTTTTTATAAATACGTGTATCTTTGGTAACATAATTGTCTTTGTACATTTAACATGATACATTGTTTGAAAGAAGAATAACTATGAAAAGATATGAAACAATGTAACATATTCTTGTGAGGAGTACTATGATTACTGTCTTGCTCTTGACAATGGCATGGTATAGCACTGGTAACTGTGTGAGGAAGTTTGTGTCCCAAATGGCAACCTATTCCCTATGTAGTGCACTGAAGTAATGTACCTCTGGTCAAAGGTTGTGCACTATATTGGAAATAAGGTCCCATTTGGGATGTACCCGAAGTCTCTTCCTTGTCATGTTGTTGGAGAGGTGATGGGCAACCAATAGGGAACTGTTTTCCGTACTCACATGTCTGTGATCCATGTTTCATACTTCTGTGTTTTCCAGCCCAAGAGCATAACTTGAGTACTGTATTGCACAGGAGGTTGGTGGCACCTTAATTGGGGAGGACGGGCTAGTGGTAACGGCTGGAGTGGAATGGTATCAAATACATCAAACGTATGGTTTCCTGCCATTACCACGAGCCTGTCCTTCCCTCAGCAGCCTCCACTGCTCTACTGTAAGAATTTGTACAGTCATGTTACTCTATCTTCACTCACATATTTTTGGACAATAGAAAAACAATAACTCTTATATTACATTCCTACTTTTGTCATTTAAGCTACAGCCACGTAGAGATGTTGTGTCCAAAACTTCCGGATTGAGCTAATGGTATTTCATCATCCGTTGATGATTGTCGAACAAAAACTGCACAAATCGTCTGTCTGTTTACATATGCAACAACTTTTGATGGACAAAAACAGACAACTGATGAATGCATATATGGTTTCATCTGTATACATGCGTCTCTGTGTGGCCGCAGCCTTATGAAAATGTAATTTGAGGTTTTTTGCCAGTAGATGGCGATGATCAATCACAAAATAAACAAATGCAGGATGTTTTTGGTGTGTGTGTTACAGTATTTCTTTAACTGTCAGTGCACCAATTCTGCTATTTTGTGTTTTTTTGCACTGATCTTAACTTTTTCAGTACATAACGTTTCCACCATCGTTTCCTATGACCGAAAAGATCCTGGACATCAGAACAGCACTCACTAACCTTGATTTGGATGACGATCAGGGGCGGTGTGTTCAATAGGGCGATATGGGCGACGCACTGCCAAACGGGAAAAGGAAGGGATTTTTTTTCTAATCAATTATATCACGGCAACAGTAGTTATCAGTGTTGTAATCTAGACGTCTGATCTGCCACAGTGCCACTAAATGTCCAATCAGGCTAAAGTCGTGCTTCAAATGCCCCCCCCCCCCCCCCCCCCTTTGGGGCGATTTCAGTCAGGTTGAAAATCGCCCAGAAGTCTGTCATAGACTCCCATGTAAAATCTATTTTTTTCAAATATCAGAGCTTTCAATACAATCTCTATGGGTTTCTGAGGGCTTGCACTTACGCGCTTTCGTCATACGTAACATAACCATGAACGTAACTAAGAAAAGAGCGGGTAGCAGCGTCAATCAATTCACTACTACAATCAAAATGGCTAGGCTTCAGTGCAACTCGATTGTGTCTTTGAAAGAAGTTCCTTTTTGTCGGCGAACAAATGAAGATAAATTGGCAACGAAACAATTAGGACCTCCCAGACCAAATTTAATAATTCAACAGGTTTCTACTAAAGGGGGGAAGTCCTACACCCGAGGATTTTCCAAAAATTGGTACGAACGAAAAACCTGGCTAGCAGGCTGCGATGTAGCTAATGCAGTCTTCTGCTACCCCCTGCTTACTCTTTCACCCTGAAGGCGGCACGGCAGACAGCACCGCTTGGACAGCGACTGGTGTGTAACGGACATGCACCATCTTTCAGGAAAGATTAAGAAACATGAGCTGTCAAAGACCCACATGGATAGCTGTTTGAGATTGTCTGCTTTGGGGAGAGTGAACATTCCCACTCAACTGGATGAGGGATACAGGCTAGCTGTCCGCCGCCACAACGATGAGGTTAGTGTTGATAATCACAAGTTTACTGGAGAACTGAAACTGACAAGGCTGACAAGATAGGACCCTTTTGTCCATTGTTATTGGATAGGAACAGAACTTATAACCAGCTCCTGACCTAAATAGATCTTAGCACAACATTTTACTCAACATATCATATTCCATATTCACTATAACAAATATATTTACTACGACATTAGCAAGAACCGCCACATCCTCAGCCGGCTAATCCAGTGTGTGAAGTTTTGCGGAGTGTTTGAGTTAGCTTTGCGAGGCAAAGATGAAACTGAGGGCTCCACCAACCCTGGTAAGCCAACACTTTTGAGATCAGTCAATAAATGCTTCTGGTATTGACTTATATGCTGCCCCTGTCTTCATGTTGTTGCTGGACATATCTTTTTTAAAATGTGTGTAGGTCACCTAAATCATCAGAAAAATTGCCCCCCCTGAGAATTTTTTCAGGAGCCGCCACTGATGACGATTTCTACTTCAATGAGTCGGCGAAGCAAGACATACTGCTCATACGGACCAGGCCTTAATCCCAGAGACTTGGAAAAGAGAAAGTGAGGCTGACTTGCAGGCACCCTAACGAAACTACATCGGTGAATAAATAAACCACCTCCACCCTCAGTTCTATTGGCGAGCGTACAATCACTGGAGAAAAAACTGGACAAGTTCCATTCGAGACTATCCTATCAACAGGACCTGAAGAAGAACTGTAATATCCTATGTTTTATGGAGTCGTGGCTGAAGAAGGACATGGATAATATACATCTAGCTGGTTTTTCTATTCATTGGCAGGACAGAACGGCAGCTTCGGGTAAGCTCAAAGGAGGAGGTGTGTATCTCTTTGTTAACAACACCTGGTGCACAATCTCTAGTATTAAGGAAGTCTCGAGGTTCTGCTCGCCTGAGTTAGAATACCTCATGATAAGCTTTAGACCATACTATTTACCAAGAGAGTTTTCATCTATACTAAGCTAACATATGGAATTGTTTTAAGGATGGTCATACCATGGATCATTTAGCCATTTGATTTTAAATTTTAGGACCCCTTTATGCATCCCCAAAAAATATTGTCTGTCTCCTATATCTAGGAGATATACGAAAGCTCAGGAAATATATATATATATATATATATATATATTTTACACACATTTAACCCCCAGGTAGTTTTGATGGCACAAAACTACCTGCAGACTTCCATTTGTTTGAATGGGTTAACTTCAGACGAGTCCCGTGACACTTATGGGGTCGTAGAGCAATGCGTAGCACACCATTGTGTTCATGAGAGTCTCCCTTTTCCATAGAGTGGTAGGCCAAACCGTTCGGACGCTACAGACGTTTTAGTGAGAAGACCTATTTTCGAGATGTCTTATGGTCTGACAAACACCGCTGTAGCTCGGCCACCTTCCACTGCAGATGCGGAAGGCCGACATAGGCGGATGTGGTGGATTGAGATGCAGCCCATGCAAAAAACTGATATCTGTAGCTAAAACTGATGGATTTTGATGGGGATATTATAAATTATGTTACTTAGATTGACGCACAGGTGATTAATTGACTATTTAACAGTC